AATGAGCGGGGAGCAGGGACAGGCAAGCATTTGTATGGGGAAGGTGGGGCATTTGTATAGGGAAGGCAGATACGCAGAATTTGCTGGGCTTGATCTTTCTCCCATTCACCCAAGTAGTACTACACCAGCTGCAAGAGAGATAGCTTAGATGTGCTTCAGGCTAAAATCAGGATCAAGCCCACAGCTCTGTGTGCAGGTGTCTCACTCTGAGAGTGCATGTGATTGGGAGGTTGTTGTGGATTAGTGCATGCAGAAGAGATGTCAGTGTGAGAGAAGGGTTATGAGTTAGTGTATGCTTGGGGCTGCTGTAGGTGGGGGAGAGGGTTGTTGTGGGTCAGCCTATGTGAGAGAGGGGTTGTTGTTGGTCAAAGTGAGCCGGAGTTGTAAGGGAAAGCTGAGTGTGCATGTGTGCATGATCCAATTCCAGGGCTGCTTGCAGGCACAGCACACACCACATCTCGGCCATACACAAGCAGCAGCCCAAGAGGGTGCCACACACACCTGGAGGAGCCTGCTGCCAGCCCTGGTGCACAGCCTGCCCCGAGCCAAGATCACAGTGAGGCAGGTGGGTATATTTAGCCCAGCAGGCCCCTCACATCCCCATCATTCCTGACATAGCTCGGACGCCACAGAGACTCTGTTCCAGGACACACGAAGCCACCTCCTCGAACTCCCCACTGCCGGCGTCACCCATCTGGGGCTGGGGGTGGGAAGGAGCATCATGCCGCCATATCAGTTACTTTTGCACAGCAGCTGCCTGCTCCAAAGATCACCTCCCCGCACCTGCCACTTTGGGGCTAGGCTCCTAGCAATCCTACATGGCATGGGGCCCGGCTCTCCGAGCCTGCACACTGCTCAGAGGCTGCCCCTCACATAGATGGGTTCCTGCACACGTCCCTGTAGCCCCAAGTCTTGGCACTGCTCGGAGGCTGCCTCTTACAGAAGTAGGGGCCCTGCTCACACCCTTGTAATCCTGGGCACTTGGCATCCCTTGGAGGCTGCCCTTGCAGAGATGAAGCCCTGAATCCATCCATGTAGTTCAGGGCACCACTCAGTGGCTGCTGCCTCAAAGCCACAAATCTTTGCCCCCTGAACCTATATGTCCAGTGTTTAACTTGGCTTCTCTTTTTCTCAGGATTCCTCACCCCATCCCTGACTCTCTCTCTACCAGAAGTGAAGCCCTGGGCCGGCCTCACACCATAGTGCCAGGCACCTCTCTGAGGTTCCCATCCTAACCGGGTTTCCCCCATGGATCTGACTCTCCCCATCACATGGGCACAGCCACATGCCCAGCTCTCCAAGCCTGGGCACCACGGACACCCCTGTGGCACCTCTCAGAGGCTCCCACCCTGTCCATACCTATCCCTCATAACCACCCACCTTCCTCTGCTGCTTCTCCCAGGCAGGGTCCAGCAACAGGTCCCGGTCCCAGTCCTCCTCCTGCTGCATGTACTCTTCGGTCACCATGTATGAATGGTTGTATTGGATGTGGCTCTCTACTTGCGTGGTCATCTTGGCTTGTCCTCTTGTCCCCTCTCTGCACGTCTGTCTCCTCTTCCCCCTGAATCCCAGGTGATACCTCTCACACACCCTGCTGGCTGCTCTGCACTGCCCCTTGCCCAATGTACCAGCTCCCTTCTCCTGGAGGTCAGGTCCCCCTACCCCTGACGGCTGGCAGCTTTGCCCTGTCCCAAACTCCTGGTCAAAAGCCACCCACGTGACTGGTCCCCATTAAGTATTATCAGCCTGGGGAAGGGGGATCAGGTTCCACCTTTAAAAGGCCAGGGGGAGGGTGCAGAAAGGCTGTCCCAACCAGGGAGGAAGAAGACAGCTGCTGGCAGTCCGGGCACTCCCACCCTTCAAGCTCTTAAAGGGACCCTGTACCTTGGGGCGGAGCGGGGGGAGGGTTGCTTGCTGGCCATCTGGGGACAGGAAAGGCACAATAAGCCCCAATGGGAGCTGGAAGGGGGATGGAAAGGCAGTTCCCAAGGAGGAAGAGAGGTGTGCCAGACCTGGAAAAGGCCATTAAGTCATCAGAAGGAATCCAGGGCCAAGGCATGAGCTAAAAACACACATGGCATCAGCTGCAAAAATCAAAGGGAAACAGTATGGCCAATGGTAAAGCCAGGACACCCGGGGTTCCACTCCCAACTCTGCTAGTGCCCTGCTATGTGACCTTGACCAAGTCTCATCCCCTCTCTGTGCCTCAGTTTCCAAGCTCTAAAATCAAGGGTCTGACACCCCCACACATCCAAGGCTCTTGGAGATACTTTGCAAGCACAAGTTTAATTACCATTCTGCAAGGCTCATGCAGGAAAGAACTTGTCACTATGACACCAGCACCATGCATGGGGGGAGACCTGGGAAGGCAATACAATAACCACCAGCCAGCACCTGGCAGAGAGGTAGCTCTGTGCCATCCCAGTAACCCATAAACACTGCAGGCACCTGCAGGAGAGCCCGTGGGGGTTTGTCCCTGGGAAGGGAAAGCTGAGGGTTGGGAGAGTTGACATGATTTCCCCCACTGCAGCAGCAGTGAAGGAGGTGTTGGAGCACTCACTCCCCATGCTGTGGCTCCAGTTACAGCAAGGCTATTATTAGCAGCCAGGCCAGCAGCGCAGGATGAGAGCTCACAGAAGAGGTTACTGGTTGGAAGGGGCAGAGGAAACTTCAAAGGAGGACCCAAATTTTCTGGGACCCAAATCCAGAACTCCCACCTTTTACAAATCAGGCCCATTTAAAAGATTGGCTGCCTCCCCAAAAATGGAGTTTGCTCCCACCAGCACAACTTGGTTTGGGGACTTCAAGGCACTGTCCAGCACCCCCTGTCCCACCACAAGCTGTGGCATCCCACACCGACAGCATTGTGTCTCCAAGCCTGCATTTGACACCGGAGGCTCTGTGCCAAACCAGCAACCCATCAGAGTTACCACCAAATGAACTTCCAGGACAGGGCTGGACTGCATTGAGCTGGAATAACAGGCCAGAAATATGGGCTTAGGCCTGGGAACCAAGGGGGAGGGTGGCCATCTTCAGAAAGGGCAAAGCTCTGCTAATTTGATCTGTAATCCATGGGCACAGTGATCCCACTACCCTAACTGGGCACTCTGACCCCCCAGGGCACTCTGACCCCGCCATTTCCTTAACTGGGCACCGTGACCCCACCCGGCCCTGAGACCCCCTTCACCCA